AGGATTCGAGAGTATCATCAAAGCAAAGTCATTGGTTGAGTCTCACTGCCCTTCTCTTGTCTCTTGCTCTGATATTCTCGCCATAGCTGCTCGAGATTTCATCCACTTGGTAATCCCATCCTTTCAACTCTACCTCTAATTCTATTTTCTGAGTCTAGAACCGGTCCAAACGTAGCCAAGTTTCAACCAAACCGGACTTGGATATAGTTTGGGAACCGGTTCAATTTCTACTTGATTTTTAGTTGTTTTGAATAATAATAATACCGATTAAGATCGTAAAACTGAATAGAACTAACATAAAACCGAGCTGCATACCACTTAATTTTCGGGGTGATCATTCGGGGTTTCAATTATAGAAGGCTAAATTAAATTACCAATCGAAAACCGAATTTGGAGAACCGTATCAAACCGTATATTATTTGTCAACTCCGAAGTACATATGGTCTATCTACGTGTCATTGACTAATAGTGCTTGCTTTGTTTTATTACCAAAAAACATAGGCAGGTGGACCCTACTATGCAGTGAAAAAGGGAAGATGGGACGGTAAAAGATCAACGGCAACGAACGTCCCACAAAACATACCTCGATCAAACTCAACCGTCGATCAGCTCATCAAGCTCTTCGCTTCCAAAGGACTAACCGTAGAGGATCTTGTCGTCCTTTCTGGGTCCCACACAATCGGCTTCGCACACTGCAAAAGCTTCATTGGTCGTCTCTACAACTTCAAAGGCACAAAACGACCCGACCCGACTCTCGACCCGAGATTACTTAAGGAGCTCCGAATGTCGTGTCCTTTTTCCGGCGGAAGCTCCGGCGTTTCCCTTCCGCTCGACGCAACAACTCCGTTTGTGTTCGATAATGGATACTTCACAGGTCTAGGAACCAACATGGGTGTTCTCGGGTCGGACCAAGCTTTGTTTCTTGACCCGAGGACGAAACCCATTGCACTTGAGATGGGTAGAGATAAACAGAGGTTTCTCAAGGCGTTTGGAGTAGCTATGGATAAGATGGGTTCCATTGGTGTCAAGAGAGGGAGGAAACATGGGGAGATACGAACAGATTGTCGAGTCTTTTTATAGATTTTATTCATTTATTTTC